GTGCACAATATGGTTTTTGTGCAAGAAGGCAATGGCGCTCGTCAGCTGTAGCATGAAACTTGTTGGTGGCTGGGTCCGGCCTCCGGGACAAGACATACTGATTCAGGTCTTCACCCTCACAGAACTCCATGACAAACCACAGATAGCAGGGCTCCTCAGCATAACCTAGGATCCTTTCCCCTTCCAGCGAGGTCTCCACCAGGCGCAGGTACAGCTGCCAGCTCTTATTGTCGTGACTCATGCGCGGGGCTAGCCCGTTGCGCTGCAGGACGCGCTCCTCAAACTGCACGACGTTTTGGTGCCGCCGCTTGAGGCTGGTGAGAATTCAGCCAGCGCTAGCTCCACGTTCTCGGGGGCGTCGCAGCGGATCTAGCTGACCGCCACTCGGGCCCCGCTGTGCCCGGACACTGCCTCGTAAACCACGCGTAGCTGCCGCGCCCGATCTCCGCCAGCAGACTGTAGTGCGGCCGCGGGGACCCGCCACCGCCCTCCGTCCATCACCGCGCCAGGTAGGCCTCGCCCGGGAGGTAGCCAAACTCACTATGAGCCCCTGCTGATCCCTGTGGGCAGGCTGTTTCGACCAAATGAGAGACAAGTGGCTCAGCTGGCCAAGGATTACCTAGGCAAGGCGACGGTCGTGGCGTCTGTGGTGGATCAAGGCCGTTTCTCTCGGTTTGCCCCTCTGCAACCACAGGCAGCTGAGCCTCCACCCAGCCGGAAAACCCCAGAGATCTTCAGGGCTCTGGAAGGGGAGGCTCACCTGTGCTCTTCGGGTTTGTGCCTGAGACAAAAGAAGTGCTCCAGCTCATGCCAGGGAACATTGTCTTTGTCTTGAAGAAGGGCAATGACAGCTGGGCCACGGTCATGTTCAACGGGCAGAGGGGGCTTGTTCCCTGCAACTACCTTGAACCAGTTGAGCTGCGGATCCACCCTCAGCAGCAGCCCCAGGAGGAAAGCTCTCCAGAGTCTGACATCCCAGCTCCTCCTAGTTCCAAAGCCCCTGCAAGACCCCAGTTGTCACCAGGTCAGAAACAAAAAGAAGAGCCTAAGGAAGTGAAGCTCAGTGTTCCCATGCCCTACACACTCAAGGTGCGCTACAAGTACACGGTAGTCATGGAGACTCGGCCCGGGCTCCCCTACAGCGAGGTCCGGGACATGGTGTCTAGGAAGCTGGTGCTCCGGCTGGAACACGCTAAGCTGAGCTATCGGCCTCGGGACAGCAATGAGCTGGTGCCCCTTTCAGAAGAGGGCATGAAGGATGCCTGGGGCCAGGTGAAAAACTCCCGCCTGACTCTGTGGTGTGAGAACACAGTGGGTAACCAAGGCTTTCCAGATGAACCCAAGGAAAGTGAAAAAGCTGATGGTAATAGCCAGACAACAGAACCTCAGCTTAAGGAAGGCAGCCAAGTGGTAGCACTCTTCAGTTATGAGGCTACCCAACCAGAGGACCTGGAGCTTCAGGAAGGGGATATAATCCTGGTGCTATCAAAGGTGAATGAAGAATGGCTGCAAGGGGAGTGCAAAGGAAAGGCTGGCATTTTCCCCAAAGCTTTTGTTGAAGAATGCGCTACTACAGATTTGGAAAG